TTTGGGCCATTTGGAGGCCTCTAGGGGCCATTTGGGACCGATTATGGGTCTTTTGAGGCCATTATAGGCCAATTTGGGCCATTTGGAGGCCTCTAGGGGCCATTTGGGACCGATTATGGGTCTTTTGAGGCCATTATAGGCCAATTTGGGCCATTTGGAGGCCTCTAGGGGCCATTTGGGACCGATTATGGGTCTTTTGAGGCCATTATAGGCCAATTTGGGCCATTTGGAGGCCTCTAGGGGCCATTTGGGACCGATTATGGGTCTTTTGAGGCCATTATAGGCCAATTTGGGCCATTTGGAGGCCTCTAGGGGCCATTTGGGACCGATTATGGGTCTTTTGAGGCCATTATAGGCCAATTTGGGCCATTTGGAGGCCTCTAGGGGCCATTTGGGACCGATTATGGGTCTTTTGAGGCCATTATAGGCCAATTTGGGCCATTTGGAGGCCTCTAGGGGCCATTTGGGACCGATTATGGGTCTTTTGAGGCCATTTTAGGCCAATTTGGGCCATTTGGAGGCCTCTAGGGACCGATTATGTGTCATTTGAGGCCATTTTAGGCAAAACAATGTATAAAAACAATAAAATGTATAAAAACGTACGTGATGCGCGAAGGATCAAAAAGTTTTGCTTCGCGCGTTACTGTCACCAAGATGTAATTAGATCGAACGCAGAAATTAGATCGAACCGGTTCGATCTAGGAATTAGATCGAACGCGCGGCGCGGCTTTCAATGTATTCGTATATGTATCTTGCGCCAGCGTTCGATCTAATTCCTAGATCAAACCGGTTCGATCTAATATCTGCGTTCTGATTACATCTTGGTGACAGGTACGTTAAAAGTAGAGATGAGGAGAGAGAGAAACGGAGAAAGAGGGAAAATGAGGACTCAGCTAGGTAGTTAGAGAAACAAGGATGGAGAGAGGGACAGAGAGGGGACAGAAGGAGAAAGGAGGAGAGAGTGAGAGAGAGGGTGAGAGAGAGAGAGAGAGAGAGAGAGAGAGAGAGAGAGAGAGAGAGAGAGAGAGAGAGAGAGAGAGAGAGAGAGAGAGAGAGAGAGAGAGAGAGAGAGAGAGAGAGAGAGAGAGAGAGAGAGAGAGAGAGAGAGAGAGAGAGAGAGAGAGAGAGAGAGAGAGAGAGAGAGAGGGGGAGGAAGGAGAGGAGTGATAGAGAGAGGACAGGGAAATTGAGGACTCAGCTAGGTAGGTGAGAGAGAAACAAGGAGGGATAGAGGGACAGAGAGGGGAGAGAAAGAGTGGGAATAGGGTGAGAAAGAGAGAGAGAGAGAGAGAGAGAGAGAGAGAGAGAGAGAGAGAGAGAGAGAGAGAGAGAGAGAGAGAGAGAGAGAGAGAGAGAGAGAGAGAGAGAGAGAGAGAGAGAGAGAGAGAGAGAGAGAGAGAGAGAGAGAGAGAGAGAGAGAGAGAGAGAGAGAGAGAGAGAGAGAGAGAGAGAGAGAGAGAGAGAGAGAGAGAGAGAGAGAGGGGAGGAAGGAGAGGAGGGATAGAGAGAGGACAGGGAAATTGAGGACTCAGCTAGGTAGGTGAGAGAGAAACAAGGAGGGATAGAGGGACAGAGAGGGGAGAGAAAGAGTGGGAATAGGGTGAGAAAGAAAGAGAGATAGAGAGATAGAGATAGAGAGAGAGAGAGAGAGAGAGAGAGAGAGAGAGAGAGAGAGAGAGAGAGAGAGAGAGAGAGAGAGAGAGAGAGAGGGGGAGATAGAGAGTGAGACAAGGAAAATGAGGACTCAGCTTGCTAGAGAGAGAAACAAGGATGGAGAGAGGGATAACGAGGGGAGAGAGAGGGAGGGAGATATAGGGAGAGGGATAGAGAAACAAAGATGGAGAAAGAAACGGGCCACGAATGGGAAGACCGCGAGAAGTCGAAAGAACAAAGGTAAAACAAAAGAAAACAACTTTATATTTGAAAGACTTAACAAGGATTGAAAATGTACATTTTTTATTATCAAACTTTACACAAATCCGAAGTAGTAATATAAAAACATCCTAGGATCTGATAAGTCTACGTGAAGAACTCTGAAAACAAACTTAAATATTTAACCCAAAAAAAAATTAAAGTATCAAAAACTAAACAAATTTCTCCAATGGTTTCTGTTCGAGGCTATATGTCGAAGTTCTGTCAAATCTGTCAAATTACATAAATTGATATTTCTTTTATTGAAAATGTACACATTAAAATAAATATAAAACGGTTGATCATAATTTGCTAACTCACATCAGAAAAATAACAAACGCCCTGTGTTTCAAAAACGTTCATAGTTTATCTAGGCCAATGTTCAACAATCAACACTCATGCTTTTTGCCAAAAACCGAATAGAAGGGGCGATTCTCAGTTTGTTCATAAAAATCTGTGTAGTCTGATGTAATGTTTATCGCACAAATGTCCAGTTGCAGGATTCAGCAATTGTTCAATACCGTAGACCTGAAATAAAAGAAAGTGTATAATAGGAACAAGGTTATTATTACAAAATTACTTTTTTTAAAAGAAGGATACCTCAAGTTACTCAAATATCATAGCAACAAACTTCACTTGTCAATTGTCGTTTGATATTGTATTTAGTAAACCACCTGCTCTGCTTGTGCACAACACAAGGGTATTTATTTTTAAATGCACTATCCAGGGATGCTTTATTACATAGGCATTTAATCTTTGCAGTTGTTTCTATCATGGCAGTCCTGAGCGTCAATCTTTTTCGTCTTTTGTCTGCTCATTTTGCATTTCAAATCAATGAGGCAGGACTAGAATTTAGCAATGTTCTGTGTGCTATACCGAACTATAGTGTGCGTGGCATCTATTATGTTAGTCTCAGTAAATCTGGAAACCATTGAATATGTCTACCAATACTCCTCAGTCGATCACAAAGCATTTAAAATAGGGTTTAGTGTTCTGACTAGCTGTGTATTTAGATGAAGCAAGGTCAGGACTCAGGAACCCAGCATGGTGAAGGATAAGGACAGTTTTCGTGCAAAAATATCTGTCACTCTACTTTCGTAGCTTTCGATTCTATCAGAATCTTAGTTTGTGCCTTTGATGAAGTAAATGTTAGACAGTGCTTTTATGAATACATCTCCGTGAAAAACTTAACTAACATCAGTAATATAATAAACTTCTGAGAAATCCAATCATGAGGGGCTTATTTCATCAAAAAAGCTGAAGTTTGAAGGCCATTGAAAACAACAGAGATATAAATCAAAGCCGAATATATATGCAATCTTCATCATGTCTGCTATTTATTATGATAGTTGCAGTTCAACTACAGAGGGAGGGATGGAGGGAGGGAGGGAGGGAGGGAGGGAGGGAGGGAGGGAGGGAGGGAGGGAGGGAGGGAGGGAGGGAGGGAGGGAGGGAGGGAGGGAGGGAGGGAGGGAGGGAGAGGGAGGGAGGGAGAGAGAGGAGGGAGGGAGGGAGGGAGGGAGGGGTCATGGAAACAGAGGGAGGGAGGGAGGAGGAAGGGAAGGAGGGAGTGAGGGAGGGAGGGAGGGAGGGAGGGAGGGAGGGAGGGAGGGAGGGACGGGAGGGAGGAGGGAGGAAGGGAGGGAGGGAGGGAGGGAGGGAGGGAGGGAGGGAGGGAGGGAGGGAGGGAGGGAGGGAGGGAGGGAGGGAGGGAGGGAGGGAGGGAGGAGGAGGGAGGGAGGGAGGGAGGAGGGAGGGAGGAGGGAGGAGGGAGGGAGGAGGGAGGGAGGGAGGGAGGGAGGAGGAGGGAGGGAGGAGGGAGGGAGGGAGGGAGGGAGGGAAGGGAGGGAGGGAGGGAGGAGGGAGGGAGGGAGGGAGGGAGGGAGGGAGGGAGGGAGGGAGGGAGGGAGGAGGAAGGAGGGAGGGGAAGAGGGAGGAGGGAGGGAGGGAGGGAGGGAGGAGGGAGGGAGGGAGGGAGGGAGGGAGGGAGGGAGGGAGGGAGGGAGGGAGGGAGGGAGGGAGGGAGGGAGGGAGGGAGGGAGGGAGGGAGGGAGGTCATGGAACGAGGGAGGGAGGAGGAGGGAGGGAGGGAGGGAGGGAGGAGGGAGGGAGGGAGGAGGGAGGGAGGGAGGGAGGGAGGGAGGGAGGGAGGGAGGGAGGGAGGGAGGGAGGGAGGGAGGGAGGGAGGGAGGGAGGGAGGGAGGAGGGATGGAGGGAGGGAGGAGGGAGGGAGGGAGGGAGGGAGGGAGGGAGGGATGGAGGGAGGGAGGGAGGGAGGGAGGGAGGGAGGGAGGAGGGAGGGAGGGAGGGAGGGAGGGAGGGAGGGAAGGGAGGGAGGGAGGGAGGGAGGTCATGGAAACAGAGGGAGGGAGGGAGGGAGGGAGGGAGGTCATGGAAACAGAGGGAGGGAGGGAGGGAGGGAGGGAGGGAGGTCATGGAAACAGAGGGAGGGAGGGATGGAAAGAGGGAGGGAGGGAGGGAGGGAGGGAGGGTCACAGAGGCACATATTAGGTGCGATGGGTGCGGGATCGCACAATTTACCGTTTTCCGCACATTTCCGCATAATTTATTGTTTTCCGCACATTTTGTAATTTTCTGCATATTTCTTTCGGGACCGTGACCCAGGCCCTTTTGGAACTCATACCTAGGCCACGTGACCCAGTTACCACGTGACCCAGGCCCCTTCGGGACCCTGACCCAGGCCCTTTCGGGACCGTGACCCAGGCCCTTTTGGAACTCATACCTAGGCCACGTGACCCGGTTACCACGTGACCCAGGCCCTTTCGGGACCCTGACCCAGGCCCTTTCGGGACCGTGACCCAGGTCCTTTTGGAACTCATGCCTAGGCCACGTGACCCGGTTACCATGTGACCCGGTTACCACGTGACCCAGGCCCTTTCGGGACCGTTACCCATGCCCTTTCGGGACCGTGACCCAGGCCCCTGGCCCTTTCGGGACCGTGACCCAGGGCCAGGCCGTTATGGAACTCTCGTCGTTACCGTACTTCGATCATACCTGCAGCCCTTTTTATCGGGTAATGAGCTCTATTCGTTGTAGCGTTGGCTTTATAGTGGGCTTAATGGATCTTGGATCAAATGGTTTACAAGTACTGACGATCAATGCCAACAAGCGTGTCACATATTTACGATCACGCATGGGATCTGATCGACTCTATCAGCGTCTTCAAATAACTGTCTCCTGATCTCTACCAGATCAAGTCACTGTTCTCAGATAACTGAATCTCAATATAGGTTCAATCATGGTCTTAGTCTAGAACTACACCCTCAGTAACACATAAACATACCTATTTTTGATAAGAGCGGCGGTTATACGTTTAGAATTTCCAAAGTCCTTCAGAAAATGCAAAAGAAAACCGCACAATTCCCGCACAAATTTAGAAAAAATCGCCGCACATTTGCCGCATAATTGGTAAAAATTTACCGCACCTTACCGCACATTTTACCTTTATAGTCGGGTGCGGTACCGCATAATTTCGATTTTTTTACCGCACCTAATATGTGCCTCTGGGGAGGGAGGGAGGAGGGAGGGAGGGAGGGAGGGAGGGAGGGAGGGAGGGAGGGAGGGAGGGAGGGAGGGAGGAAGGGGGAGAGAGGGTTGTGTTTCGTGGTGAAAGCTGAAGAAGATTCCGTACATTTCATCGGATGTAGAACCAGCACGTCAAGTCCTACATATTTTAACTCCGATTGAGTGTAAGAGGTGGGTAAAGTCACAAAATGTTTGCAATGATTAACATCCTCACCGGTCTAAAACAAGGCTACAGATTCATATCCGAAACTGATCAGATAGACAACAAACTCCCAAATACATACCTATTTTCTAAACCTTATCTATTTGCTGATGACGGTGCATTATATTTTGACAATATATCTAGAGGAAACTATGGTAACATCAAACAAGAGTTGAAATTAGTTATCAGATGGCTTCAGGCTAATAAACTATCCCTGAATAATGAAAAGACAAAACTAATGATCTTTGACTCTAAGCCTAACCTTGATGCCATCCTTGTTGAAATTTGTGATGACCTTACTTTGGTAATCTGTGAAACTAAATCCCATAAGTACCTTGGACTTATAGTTGACAGCAGATTGACATTTAATGAACATATTGATAACATTAAGAAAAAGATATCCAAAAGAATTGGTGCTATGTATAGATCAAAAAAACTTCTCCCTCTTAAGTTCAGGAAGATGTTTGCTAATGCACTTATGTTGCCACATTTTGACTACTTAGACACCATCTGGTCAAGATCATATAAAAAACGACTAGGAGAGTTAGATATCATGTACAAAAAGGTTGCTAAAATAGCCCTAGATGTAAACATCAGAGAGAGGTCGGTTAATGTATACAAAAATATGGGATGGCTTCCTCTCCATTTGAGACGACAGGTTCATCTTAGCTCATATATGTACCGTATAATCAATGAAACATGTCCAAAGCATTTTATCGGTAAATTCTCGTATATTTCTGGTGGATCACGTGAGGCAGAAAACTGCAATCTTTATACTCCTAAATCAAGATCTCACAAGGAGTTTAACTATCTAGGAACTAAGGCCTGGAACATATTACCAAAGTCCCTTAGAGAGTGTGACGACGTTAAGAAATTTTCTAAGTTATACAAAGAAACTCTTATGAATATGGTGCTAACTGATGAGAATTACCAAGGGGATAACTCTTACGATAAATTCATGATCCCACCCAACACTAGCCAATGTATCTAGGCAGTTAAGTTATTTCAGTGATTGATTGGGAATCGAGCGGTTTACTCGATTAATGTTTACTCAAAAATATAATACAAACAGTAATAGATAGAAAATAGTAACGTTAAAGAATTCTTTTTAAAAACCCTCTGGGAAGGGCACTGCACACTGTTATCAAAAAGTACACTGTGATCATGAAGTACTATGAACTACAGATTTAAAAACACAACGCTTCACGCTACACATGATATTACACATCCATAATATCGATCCTATAGGTTAAGAAGTTTAGACTTGCACTGAACAGCTTGGATTATTGTTTTTAAAATTTTGTGCAAAATTTTACCATCAGTGATTAATGATTTTGGCTGGTAACTCAGCGCTTACAGTAATTATGAGTGCGCGATTGAGATTAATGTATGGAAAAGGAATTTAGCGGCAGTGAAATGCTTGCTTATCTACGCTAAGTAAAGTTATCTCAGTACATAAGTGAATCCAATCCATCCCCTGCAATCAAAGTATTTCCATGCCTATTAAGCTTTTACAGGAAATTAGGAACATCAGTGGAAAGGTGCACTGTCAATCATTATTGCTTCATACCTCCAGTCCTCCTGTTATGTGCAATTCTCACTGCTATGTATGCTCCTCATTTGTATCAATTATATTGATGCTACATTGTTATAGAATATGAAATATTTCTTAACCGTATTAATTTATTAACTTATTGTAAATAGCAAGTTTGACAAAGGGATTACGTTTATTTTACCCGGAGTTCGTTTAAGTTTAGTATTGTAAATAGTTAATTTGACGAAGGGAATATGTCTATTTTACCCTGAGTTATGTTTTAGTTCAATCTTGACACAATTTTAAAATGATAATTTAATTATTTTATATATGTATTGTCCATAACTAGGGTGGCCTGCTAACAGAACCATGATCTGCCTTGATTCATCCTTCAGCACAGAGAAAAAGCTCCCTTTTTTATACATTATGATTACAGAGGATCTGATATTTAGATATATATTGCTGTGCTGTAAAAATTGACTTTATTCATTTATTTTATTTATTTATACTCAATCAAGATTTTTGTAAACACGACACACTGAGAATGAGTAACTGATCAGAATTCTGACCTTAGGTCTACTAAATGTACCTTACAAATAATACATGTTATACTGTTATTTTTACACACACTACACATAACATTACGTGATCTCTAACACAGTGATCTTAAGGGTTCAAAAATGTTTGCGGCCAACACTTGCTCATGATGTGTATTTCAGGATTACCACTATTGTGAACTCAAGTCAGCGACTGAACAGATCAACCTTAGGACTACACACAAACACAAACACACACTACACATAAAATATTTATTTCATACTTAAGAATACACTCAAGTATAAACGTAACACAACTTCATAATTATATCAGCTGGCTACTTCCTCATGAATTAGGGCATTTTTATTGTTAACTCGTCATTATCTTGACAGTAGCCTTTAAAATTCCCTGCGGACTGTACTAATAATTATTAATTATCTAGAATAGTTATAAAAGATTGTGATGATTCATAGTTCACGTTAAAATTTGTTTTCCTATTGTGATTATTCTAAATTAGGGAAAATATGTTTATTTGTTCCAAACTGATAAATCATTGCAAATGTTCGTGACTTAATCTAACTCGTTTCACTTGTTAATTTTGCAAAGGAAAGGTATTATTTCTTCCCAAGATATTATGATTAGACGATATAATATGTTAAGTATAATAATCTAATGTGAAAGGGGTATGGGTCCGAAACCCACAATCTTTCGCCAGCCATCTAATAGATAATATTCACATTTAATTTGCAATTTATATCTTTGAATTACACAACATAAATTGAATCATACTATAGTGTAGATTTTCTGTCACAACAATACTGCAATCATAGTATATTAAGTAAAACAAAATTTTAAGTAAAACAAAATTTAAATTTTATTGCCATTTCAATGAATAATGATATCATAATAAATATAAGTAGACATCCGATAATAAACTTGTTACATCCAGTACAACCCAAGATGTCAGCCCAAGACGCGACTCACAAAAATAAAGAAAGAAAGCTAGCATGTTCATTGTTCATAGTTTTTCTAACAAGCATACTTAGGCTGTACGGAAATAGCTTTAATTCTACGTCATATTAGTAACAAGCGTTTTATCTCAGACAACAATTGTTATCTGGTCCAAAATTCTTGTCTCCAAAAACTCATCTGGACTAGTGTTTCGGGGTGTGCAAAAGCTTTCAGGCCCGCACATTCCTTGCCCGGTTAGTTGCCTGTCCTTATTCACAACCCAATCAGCAGTCGATGGCAAAAAGCCTTACACCAAATAAGCATGGATCATTAAAGAGACAGTAAAACGACTTGGTAAGTTATCAATGAATTAAGGGAAATGCAAAAAAACATAAAGCCTCAATACTGTGTCGACGGAGTACGCATCACATAACGTAGACTCATAGCCAACAAATTTAATGAGTACTTTGGTCTTTGCCTCAATAGCGTCGAAATTGAATGAACAAGTTGATGGGGAAATGAAAATTGAGCCACTTCCTTCATTTGTTGAATTTTTACCAAAAACTAACCCAAATTCGATGTACTTAACAGACTGCACTGAGGGTGAAATATCTCATATCATTTCTGAGCTACAAAATGGCAAAGCTAGTGATTTCACCATCAGTGTTATTAAAAAGGCCTCACACATTCTCAGCCCAGTGCTTTCCATACAATACAACTAAACCTTATGTCAACAGGATGCTTTCCCGCCATTAGGTTAAATTAGCCCCATCTACAAAAAAGATAACGAAAAATTCTCCCAATTTTTGGTAAAATTTTTGAAAAGGTTATCTACTCACGGCTTTATGGTTTTCTCTTGAGTCAGGGAATACTGCACGATAGCCAGTTTGGGTTCCGAAAAGGTCATTCAACATCACATGCACTCAACTACTCAGTTCACTACATTCAGCAATCACTCAAAGCTGGTAATCATGTTTTAGGAATCTTTATCGACCTAAGTAAAGCATTTGATACAATAGATCACTCAATACTTCTCAAAAAATTAAACACATACGGGATCAGAGGACAGGCACACAAACTCCTGGAAAGTTATCTTTCCGACCGTAAACAATATGTTGGTGTGCTCAATGAAATATCTGATACTCTACCTGTGCTTTTTGGAGTGCCACAAGGGAGCTGCTTAGGGCCCCTTCTGTTCTTAATTTACATAAACGATCTTACAAACTCTGAAAAGAACTCTAAATTTGTTCTATTTGCTGATGACACAAATATCTTCGTCGCTGCAAAAAGTAAAAGCCTAGCATACAAAAAAGCCAATGAAGTTCTAAGTTCCGTACACCGCTACATGCTTGCCAATAAACTTCACATAAACACTGGCAAGAGCTGTTACCTTGAATCCTCAAACTCTCGATCCAACAAAGATGAAGATACACCCTCTGATCAAGTCAGTAAACGACCGGGGGTAGGATTTGGCCGGGGCCGGGAATGTCCAAATTTTGCCGGGGCCGGGAATTGGCCGTTCTGGAATTTGGCCGGGGCCGTGAATTTAATAAATCCACGACCAAGTTAGAACTTTTCAGGACTTAGGATCTGAACTTATTGTTACATGACAATATAATGTTCGTATCAATTGAACAGTTTAGAAGGTAATCAGATTTCATATATATTTTGATAAAATAATTTTGTTCAGCTGAAACAGTAAATAAAAGTTGGCCTCTGGACATCATCCTTTCAAAATTGAAAATCCATTTTAAGATTTATATGAAAGTTTTAGGCCGATTTCGATCAAAAATTCCCGGCAAAAATTGAAAATCGGCTGGGGCCGGGGCTGGGAAGAAATAGCTCCCCCGGCGCCGGGATTTCACGGCGCCGGGAACCCCGGTCGATTACTGGATCAAGTAATCAATATCAATGGCATACCTTTGGAGAGAGTACATGAAACTAAATTCTTAGGAAAACAAATTTAGGAAAACAAATTTAAATTTTGGTATTTATTAATAACAATCAAAACATATCATATCATAAAAATAAAGCCGCGCGTTGGTTGACTGCCTCAGTAAGGTGAATAATTTAAGCTTGAAGGTGCCCTGCGCATTTACAGAACCTTATGCGGCGATCACATATTTATGAGGACCTGTGAGCGCCAAAATTAATTTAAAGTTTCTAGAAATCATACATCACTAGATGAGTTACTCATGCTTTTGGATTATAAGAGTGCGGATTGTCAGGTATTTCATTCATTCATACTTAATCGGTTTAAAGCTGTATATTTAGAACTCACTATTGTTTAAACTACGAAAGCAGAACGTAGATAATGGACAATATACCGACGACAATACCAAGGACCCGAGTGCCGCATTGACTTTTCCGGATCCGTTTTTACCGAAGGCTTATCCACCAGTTACTCATGCTGCATGTATAGTCTGATAATATTTTGTCTTATCTCTAGCAAGTGTAAGCAGTCACCATCTGCTCCAGATTCGTAGATTATTTGTATCAATTTAAGGTACGAACAACGAAAACAAGAGTAATAACGATGGTTACAAGATATTAAACTATAAAACAATACAATGAATAATTCGACAAACTCCTGCTCTAACTCCTAGTTCACCAGACTTATATTGCCCAAAATCGCCCACCGATCTAATGATCTTATCCTACCATAACATATCACATCATGAAATACAATCACTATACACATACTATAGCCAGACATACTATTATATTATATAAAGTCGGCCGTCAATACTTGTCTATATTCACGCTGAAACTCCTAGCTTAAATCCGCCATGACCCATGCCATTATGTCTACTATCAATCCCTCTCTAGGCCAACCAGAACTCAACCAGAATTACAGGTTCCGACCACCAACTATCCTTCGATAGGACAAACCACCAACTCTCTCTCCCAGTTCAGGCTCCCTTACAGTCCGGCATCAATGACGCTCTATCGAATCGGGAAAACTCAATCTCCCTCTCGACCGTCCGTCCGACCTTATATATTCCTCTACCAGCCCTGTATGTGCCGCACCAAAATACGGCCCGCCTATGCTGTATGCTCCGAAAACTCATTATTCTCTATTAAATGCATTCTAATCTATAGCACGCACTGTCTTGTCAACAAGTCTGCCTGATTTTCTCGTGCTCCCTGGTGCTTATTCAACCAACATCGAACTACAGGCCGTCTAATTTTATCTATGATTATCATTAATTCCCTACCAGTATTTTCAGCCACTACCCTCATCACACTTCCGTCGTGTTCTTGCCATAAGCCTCTACATGCTCGTTGCACAATGATTATTTCGGCCGCTACTAATGATAACTCTGCATTCTCTTAAGTAATCGGTTAATATTATAAATCTATATAATTTAACTTAATAGTGATACTTCCAGAAAAATTGACTCAAAATATCCACTGCGTACACAACTTTACAAAATATGATATTTTTAGAACCTTACTATAATAGTATACAAATGTAATAGAAAATCTCGAACTAAAGACCTTATACCTTGCCCGATCACGGCTTACACAACTTAACAAAATCTGATCTTTCTTAGAACCCTACTATACTGGTATAATAATTTACACTCCTTAAAAACTCCTTCCTGCACTTCCTCAACATTTTAAAATCACAAATTTTTAGAACCCAACTATAATAATTTAATAACAACTCACAATTTCTAAACGTTTTTTTTTTAAATGTGTCCATTTCAATCTCGTCTCTTCTTACCCGTGTCTTGTTCGTCGTTCAGAATATCCTTATCTGGCCTTCTGTTCCATGTCTTTGTTCGTCGTTCAGCACATAACTTTTTATCTTCGCTTAGGATATCAGCAATCATCTCCGATATCTTCGGTGGTCTCCGATTTATGCTTTCATGCGACCTTGAATCAACGTGTCCTCCAATCTTGTCTCCGATCTATGATTCCATGCATTTTCCAATCGATGTGTCCTTCAATCTTTCCGTTTTCGTTTTCTACTTCTTTCTTGACCTTTGTGTCTCCATCCAAGATAAATGCCTCCGCCCAGGGTATTAGCATTTGTACCCAACCTTGTGTCTCCATCCAGTATATCCGCATTTTGTCCCCCTACACTGTGTTTCCGTCTAGGATATCAATAATTCTCTCCGTCTCTGTGTCTCCATCCAGGATATCACCAATTTTTTCCGTCTCTCCGCCAAGGATATCAGTAATTTTCTCCGACACTGTCTCTCCGTCCAGGATATCAGCAGTTGTCCCCGCCTCCTGGTCTCCATATCTCCAATCTATCTTCGTTTTATGCTTTCATGTGACCTTCAATTCATGTGTTCTCCAATTCATGTGTTCTCGAATCCTGTCTCTTATCTTTGCTTTCATGCGACCTCCAATCCATATGTCCTCGACTCTGGTTACAGATTTATCGTTTTCCAATTTTTAAGTTTGCATGTACTTCTACTTTTCCAGGGTTGGTTTCTTTATCTGTCTTTCTTTTCCAATTACCTCAATCTGTAAGTTTTCTTTCCCCTTTACTTCTCTTTTTCTTCTTTTTTCGTTCATCCTTTCCAAGTTATCTATTCTCTGTTGTAGTTTTCCTTCTGTTATCTTCCTTGAATCTTCTAGCATCTTTATCTTTTTCTCTAAAATACTAATCATTTCCGCTCTTAAATTGTCTCTCTTCTTTCGTACTTTCTCTATTTGGCATACATTCCTGTCCAATTCTCCTTCCTTCCACTTTTATCCACTTTCTCTGCTTCCATGTATAGTTTAAAACGAAGTCATTTCTCATGCTGTATCTCACTCTCGTCCTCATATTTTAATTTTTTTCGCTTTCCATGTCATTGACTCTCCTTCGTCCGCACTACTGATCTCTGTACTGCTATCTGAGCCGTATTCTGTGCTACTTTCTGTATCAGTTTCCTCTTGAACTCTTCGTTGATGAATGTATGTGGTCTTTCATTCAATTTCTCATCTTTCATTTTGTCTTTTTTATCTTTTTCCTCCGTACCATTCGTCTCTACGTCACTCTCCGAATCAGTGCTTGAATCTGGATCGCACCCTTCCATCATCTTTAGTAGAAGTTTTCAATCCAGATTCTTCCTCAGAATCCGATTTGCTGTCCTTGTTTTCTATCCCACCCATTTTGCTTTTTCGTACTACCATTATTTTTTTTCGTACTTCCATTATTTCTTTCTACGCATTTTCTTTCTCTGTTCTCCTAAATTCGTTCGGATCAACCGTTCTCTCGAATTCCACTACCTCCCTAGGATTTGAACATGTTTCCCTCAAGTTCCACTCTTTAGGTTTCCCGATTTGCCTTACATCCGGATAGAAATAGTCTTTATCGGACTCTGAGTCTTCCTCAAAACTCTCCCTATCTTCTTCACCTTCACTTTCATCCTCCAGGCCCAGTTTTTCTTCATCAGCTCCCTTCACGAAGCTTCCTTCTTCTACTTCTCCTGCTGCTAAATTTCCCCTCATTCCCTCTGGCAATTTCCTTAAATGATTCCTGTGCACCACCTGTTCCTTTCCCCCCCTTTCTTCCTTAATTAAGTAATTATGCTCATCAAATACCTTAACAATGACATGAGGACCTTGCCAATTCGACTTTAATTTGTAATATGGGTTTGAAGTATCCTTAGGCCTGTGCAGCAGTACTCTGTCTCCCTCTACCAAACTAACATGTGTTTTGTTACGATCATATAGTTTCTTCTGCAGCGCGTGTGACAAATCTAAATTCTCACTGGCAATCTGGAACACCCTTCTTAATTCTTTATATGTCTGATTTGCTAAATGTGCCTCACTCTGATAATACTCTGTACTTCTTACGTCAAATACTACTTTCTCCAAACACCTCATTTCCCTCCCTGTCATTAACTTAAATGCGGAAAACCCTGTACTCCTGTTCTGTGCTGAGTTTACGGCCAACTGTAACATGGGTAAAAAACTCTTCCACCTCGACGGAAACTCGTCCACTAACTTCTGCAACATATGAATCAGCACCTTATTCTTTCTCTCCGCCTCCCCATTCCCCTCGGGATGATAACTTGAACAATATTTCTTATCTATTGCTAGCAACCTATACACATTCTTCATCACTTCACTTGTCTTAAAACTTACTGCATTATCCGTTATCAGCAACTCTGGTACCGACCAATAACTCACCCACTTGTCCACAAATATTCTTGCGATAGTCTTTGCCTTTTCATCTCTAATTGGGAAAAATCCCACCCACTTAGTAAACTTATCTGTGATAGTCAGCACCTTACTTTCCAAACCTCCCTTTTTTACCATTACCACATCCATCGCCACACATAACCCTGGATATTTATAAACTACCGGTTTT